GAGGAAAAAGTATACTAAAAAGGAGCAGGAATTTAAATGTTCCAAGAGTATTAGTAAATTACCAGCTCAATGTAAACAGGTCCAGCATTTCAAGCACACATAAGCTGCCACGTGGGTGCTGGGAATTGAACCTGGGTCCTCTAGAAGAGCAGCCAGTGCTCTTAACGCTGAGCCTTCTCTCTCCAGGCCTCAAGCACACATTTTTAAATTCTTTTTCTGCACAACTATCTACCTTGTAAACAAAATGCTATACTAGATGAGTTAGAGAGTTAGCTGATAGGCAGGGGGCTTGCTTTGCATGTGCAGAGACAAAGGTACAATTCCCAGTACCACTCAAAACCCAACAAACCCCACAAAATTAGAGAGAGGACATGATTCAATGCTTCAGTTACAGGCTCACATAGTTAATACTGAAGACTGTCAGGATTTTATTCAGACTTAAAAGTACCACATTTTTTATATGCAGAAGAACAAAAATAACGCCTTATCTGTCCCCTTGTCATTTCAAAATGTACTGTGAATTAAAGCCACACAGTTTTAAGCCAGGTGTGTGGAGCATGCCTGCAATCCCTGTATCCGGGAAGTTGAAGAAAAAGATCCTGGGACTACATAAGATCCTGTTTCAAACCAGTGAAACCCAAACAAAACAAAACCCATTCAGTTTACTGTCAATTCTTTTCCATGAGCACACACATCTCCTTTTACAGAGAGGAGTTTCTATTTAAAGAAACAAAACTTGTTAGAAACTTCATTATTAAAGAGAAAAGATTTACTGAATACTATGAAGTGTAAAACGGGTTGCAAATGGGTATGTGCAATGTATTTCCACTAGTTTAAGAACGAATAGGGAGCCAGGTGTGGCGGTGCATGCCTTCAGTCCAAGCACTTGGAAGGCAGAGGCAGGGGGGTCTCTGAGTTGTAGGCCAGCTGGTTTAGAGTGAGTTCCAGGACAGCCAGGGATACACAGGGAAATCCTACCTTGAAAAACAGACAGACAGGAAATAGCTGGAGGAAGTATTAAAATACTAATACTGACTGCATTAGAGGGAGTGAAGAAACAACTTTCTTAGGTCACATGGCCAAGGAAAAATAGAGCCAGAATACATTAGACTTCACTCTTACCCACCCTACATTACATAAAGGGTGGAAACTGATAAATTCTCAGCAGACAGAACCACAACAGCTACTAATAATGGAAGGCCACCGTGAAAGAATCAGAGGTAGAAAGAAATCCAGTACTGAACATAACTGGAAATTTCAACAAAATAAGCTATAACTGATGGACAGCTTTTTTAAAATTATGTTTTATTTATTTATTTTGAGTGTTTGTGCATGGACATGTGTGGAGGTCAAATGACAAGATACAGGAGTCGCTTCTCTCTTCCACTATGGTCCCAGGGACCAAACCCAGGTTGTTGGGTTTGGCAGCAAGTGCCTTTACCTACTGAGCCATCTCCCGAACCTACAGCTTTTAAAAGTGCTACATTAAAGAAGTTTTTCTGGTTTATGTGTATGGGTGTTTTGTCTGTGTACTGCATGTGTGCAATGCCTGCGGAGGCCAGAAAAGGGCACCACATACCCCTGGACCTGAAGTTACAGACAGCTGTGATCCGCCTTGGGGGTGCTGGGAACTGAATCCCAGTCCTCTGAAAGAGCAACCAATGCTCTTAACTGCTGAGCCATCTCACCAGCCCCAGAGCTACATTTTTAACAATGAAAAATTTCTCCTTCAACTAACAGGGCCCATTTAATTCAATTGAATTTGCTGTGCACACAAGAAAGTATGTAGACCCAGATGAGTGTTCTCTCACAGGGTCCTTGAAGTTTTAGTGGAGATGAGGGCTTAGATCATCCCACTAGGGGAAGGCAGGAGATGTGTAGAGCGATTTCTCAAGCTCTATGGGAGCATCTACGAACAAAACAAATGGTTCATTAAACCCCTTTCCTCCAGGAACAGTTCCCAGAGGGAGCAGTTTTTCTTCGGGCTCTCTTCTACAGCCACGAGTAAAGACAACTGGTTGTAACATGTGGCTTATCTGGGAGAGGAACTGAACCCACAGGGCAGGATACTGGGGCAGATCTATCTGTTACCACGACTGCAAGCCAAACCTCAGCAGTCCTCATGCTGCCACGCAGGCGATGTTCAATGCAGCAGGCACCACACTGCAAAGTCCAGTGCCATGTACACCGAAGGAAACAAGGAAGCTTAGTTTGTTTTCCCCACAGACCCGTAATTCCTAATAAGAATCCAAGGCTCCATGTTCCACAAGAAGCAGATAGCACAGAAGCAAAACACCCTCATGAGGTGAACCTTACATTGTTGCCATAGTTTCACTGATTCAATATAAGAAGAACAGCATTTCAATAAATTTTTGCCAAAGTAAATGTCTGACTGGAAAAATGGGATGCTGTTTTGTGCAGGTTTCATACTGTCTGGTACTTCCAATAAAATGTTATATTTTATTATTCCTATCAAAAACATCAAATGTAGACGAAAGAAAATACAAACTATTGTAAACATAAAAACATGGTGGTTTAACTATACAATAAGACAGCAAAAGATGAAGAAAAAATAGTTAGAGGCTGCCATAGTTAGAGGTGAGAAGGTTGTAAGCCATCAGAAAATCCATCTAAGCTGTGCTTGTAAAACCAAGGGTGAAATTAGAAAGTTTAATAAAAATCAGATGAGTGAAGAAATGGATTATTTCAAAGAAGGAGGAAAATAGCTGGGCTATCATTTATCACAGTAAAACAACACAGCCTATTGAGGGAAAGAAAAGCTAGGCTCAAATTGTTGAAGTCGAAGAAGCAAAGTCGTTTATAAAACACTTGAGTCTCTACAAGCTCTCACCTTTCCTACCCTGCTACACTATCCTTTTACAAACAGAAAAAACAAACAAATCACCACCACCAGAAAAGTCCATTACTGAGAACCTAGGAGTTCTGCTGTTTCCCATTATTTAAAACAAGTTTAAAAAAACAAACAAAACTTTAAGAATAAGCCTGGTGACCCCACAGCAACTTGCACACTTACATCTGTCTATGGAACACAATGAGGTCTTCTCAGTATTTAATAAGGACTGTCACAAGATGGGAGAAGAACTTGCGTGAAAATGGGATCCTGGCACAAACCTCGATACTCATTACATGTTTATAAAATCCCTGCTCTCAGAAAACAAAACAACCCACACAGAGAGACCGTTTCAATTTAATTATATTATGAAAACAAAAGTCACAACAGGAAATGGCTGTGGAGTATCTGATAAGCTCAATTAGCATGAGAACACAATAAAGTGATGGCCTACCATGATGACCTCAGGGGTTAAAGAGTCAATTTTCCATCTGGCAAAATCTAGATTCCCAACACAGACGCTGACTCCACAAGCTGTATAGTATCAGGTGTTGTCTGGAGCAATCCTGAGCATCCTCCAGCCAACAGGCAGTCAGGGGGCTTTCCCACTGCACTCTAATGTAATTGTTCCCTCGTGAACAGAAATAAGAAATAAATTCCGTATCACGGTTCATTCAAAGAGGTATTAAAAGGCAATCAGAGCAGTAACAGAAGCCTCTTGCTTCTTTCCCTTCTAGGTCAGCACTGACACAACACTGTTCTACAGCACCCGGAATCGTTCCAATCAGGAGCTCTGTAAGTCTCAACGAACAGCCCCGTGCTACTCAAGTGGATCACTGGCTGTGCCTGATGAGTAGATCTATCTACTCAAGTCCTTCCCGATAAACAGATGCACCGCTTTCAACATTAACAGTCAGCTGACTATGCTTCCCTGAATGAATGAGGCAATACTATATGGTTTTACAAATCAAGACAATTTCACTGAGCAAGTACTGGAGCCTATCTGTGAGTGTTCAGACACTTCAATACCTATGCTGCAAGTTTGACTTTCTTATACTTTGAAACACACACTCGGTACGTCAGGGGTCAGCGGACAAAGGCACAGCTCTTGTCTGCATTAGATTTAAATCTTGTGACTTTTACACATGTATGTCAGTGCATATGCATGCACACAGAGCCCCACCACAGGATAGGTCTAAGAACCTGGTCTTGAGATTTCCATTCGGAGGAGGGTAGCAATTCTGTATGCACACTGTTAGGGTTTGAATCCAGAAGGGCCCCACAGTCTCATCTGTCTGAGCACTTGTCAAGGTTAACGGAGCACCTGGAAACTATGGAGCCTTTGGAACTGCATAGCTTTTGGACACAAGCTACTAGGAGTTGCCCTTTGAGAGCTACAGCCTGGCCCCACTTTCTCTTCATTTGATAAGACATGAGAAGCCATGCAGCAAGTCCACACTGACCCCAGCCACCAAGCCTTCCTGCCATGTACCTCTAAACCAGTGGTTCTCAACCTTCCTAATGCTGCAACCCTTTAATACATGTGACCCCAACCATAAAATTATTTTCATTGCTACTTCATAACTGGAATGTTGCTACTGTTACTGTAATGTAAATATATGTGTTTTCGGATGGTCTTAGGCAACCCCTGTGAAAAGGTCGTTTAACCCCTATATGGGTTGAGAACCACTGCTCTAAACTGTGAACAGAATGAATCATCCTTCTTTTTAGTTGTTCCTGTCAGATATTCTGCTATAGTAACACACACACACACACACACACACACACACACACACCCCAAAAATCATATATTTGTGTGTGTGTGTGTGTGTATCAAACCAATCTCTTCTAATCAAATTTTATTCACCTACACCTACCTCCCTAAACAATTCACCACGCTGTCTATCTTAATGAAGCCTACCCCCCTCCTCCCTCCCTCCCTCTCTCTCTGAGACAAGTCTTTCTATGTAGCCCAGGTGAGTCCCAAATGCCCCTGCTTAAAATCCAGCTGTTTCTAAAGTGTTTCATAGCTATATGGGTTTCTCTTACATTAAGAGTTACTCTCCAGGTATTTCAGCTTCTTCCTCCCAGGTAAGTGGTGTTTTACAAACGCAAGCATGTACAAACTGCCCAGGGACACAAAACTTACTTGGCCTTCTGAATCCATACACAGTAGTCTGAGATGTAGAGATCATTCAAAATGTATGCTGGGTCATTTTCCTGAAAGATTTTGTGAACATCCAGGAGACACTTTAAAACTGCACTCTTACCTGAAGAAAAATTTAAAAACATCCAGTCAAACTTAAGGGGAAAAAAAAAAAATCTGATTTCTTAACTAAGAAATTAAGATCCTGAGAGGTAACGTATTTTAAACAGCTCAGAGTTTTAATAGTTTCTTAAAAATATTTTAACTAATGAGCCATCTCTCTGGCCCCTTCCTTTTTATTTCTGAAACAGTCTTACTAGTTACCTAGGCTGTCTTCGCACTTACGATCCGCCTGCCTCTCCGCTGAGAAGCTGGGATTACAGGCCTGCATTGCCGCCTGGTTTGGAAGTACATTTTAAAAGAAAGAACTTGTGTTTTTAAGTGGTGGTGCCCAATACCTAGAAGAGACGTGGACATTAGCAGGTTCCATTTTCGACAACCTGAATCAGATGCACAGTGTGGAGATCACTCAGCTTCTTTCCCTGTTGCTTCTTGAACTCCACACAAAATCTCCATCCCTTGGGTTGGGGATTTAGCTCAGTGGTAGAGCACTTGCCTAGCAAGCGCAAGGCCCTGGGTTCAATCTCAGCTCCAAAAAAAAAAAAGAAAAAATCTCCATCCTTTCCCCTTGGAAATGTCTTACTCCCACCCTCTCTCCACGGCCAACACAGTTCGCATCCTTTCACATATCCATCACCTCATGTGTAGAGTCAAGAATTCTTCCCCATCTTTGGTTCTAGACTCTCCAATTGGTCACTCATTTTGTGATGTGCTGTCCATCTCCCTCCCTGCATGTGCTTTCAAGGTTCTCTAACATGTTCCTCCTTTCTTTTCCACTTGACATAGCCTAGGTCCCTTCAGCAAACCCATGTCGCATTACTAAACCCTGCAAGGGGAAAGAAAGGGAAGCCAGATGATCTTCCCTATAACCCCCCCCTGCTCACTTCACAGGAGAACCCCATGCAAGAGAGCTTGGGAAAATGGGAGTTCTAAGTTCTCTTCAAAAGCTGTGTTTCAACAAGCCTTACCAAAACTAGTTTCATGGAATTCTATGTCATAGCATGGTAAAAGACAACCAGACTGGTGACAGCTGACAATCTTAAAGAAGCACATGAAAATTGTCCTCCCTCTGACTTGCTATTGTCATTGGAGGCCCTGTTTGGTTTCTCAAGCTAGCAGTCAGCTTCCCCAGGGCAAGCCCAGCATCACAGCTGGGCTGTTCACATGCAGGTGGCTAGCTGGGGTTTAACATCTCTTTTGTACTGAATGCTCTTTCTGTTCTGTCCTCAGCTACTTATTCAGCAGCTATCCACAAAAGAAAAGACTAGTCCTCTTCTAGGCTGTCACATGACCAGAGACCAGAAGCTTACAGGGACGCACAGTCCCTGCCTCCTGTGGGGCTTTTACCCAGTTGTGGTCTTGTCATACATCCTATGAGCATAAAAAAGCTGTGTAGGCCTAAAGCTAAGACAATTATTTTGGCTCAAAGGCACTGCAGGAAAGTGACCATTTTTCAAGCAGTTCGCTGCCTGCTCCAGAGTATAAAAAACAAAAGTACTTTTGCACAATAACCACGGTAACTATTTTCACTGCAGGAAGGAACTAGCAGTTGTCCCCAGGATGTCAAATGGCCCCAAACTCAGAGATTCTCTAGGACTGATTGGCTGGATAAGCCAACCCTATCCATGTAAGAATGTTCTCCCTGAATCTAGGGTCTCCTACTCACTCATGAAGGCACTAGAAACTAATGTCCCAAGATAATAAATGACAAAAGCTACGGATGTTTTACTGCACTGGAATGACTATCTAATGACGGCACACAGAAACAGAACAACAACATAAAGAAAACATGGAGGACAGTAATTAGTAGGTGGCCAGTAAACACGATTTAACATGTTCTCCAGCATTCCCTCCTATTAGCAGACCAGGCTGGGCAATAATCTCTCAGTGACAGATCAGCCTGTGGCTGAAGGCATTTAAGAAACTGGTCCCATCCCTAGAAGGATCAGAGGAGGAGATGCTTTTGCTGGTTAGATGCCAGAATAGGAAGAGTCATTTAAGCTGCTGTCTATCTATACCTAAGAAGACCTCAATTTCTTTTCAGTGGGCAGCTACAGCTTTCTGGGTCCCCAGCTCTGATCTATGCACATGTGGGTCAACCTGCACTGTTGTCAACCTCTGTTGTTGTAGTTCGCCAAGAGTCAACCTTGGTTTTTTAAACAGTAGCTCCTGGATTGGAGCTCAGTGAATAGCCAAGGCTGGCCAGTGAGTGGAGGGCCTGTTCTGTCACTATTTTAATCTCTAAAGGCAGAGTCTCTCACTGAACCTGGCAGCTAAGCCCTGGCTTTTTATATGTGGGCCAGGCATTTAAACGCAGGTCCTCATACTTGCTCAGCAAGGGTCCACTCTGATTAAGCCACCTCCTTAATGTTTTAAGCTATGCAAAATAAGAAGTCAAGAAAGGGAAAGAAGACTTTAAAGTCTTGACAGAAAGGCTGCCTTGTCGTTATTTAGAAAATATATCAGAATAAAAGCCAACAGTATTTATCATCTTTAAACATAATTTAGCAGATACCTGGGTATATTTCTTAGAGTCTGATGAGACAATATCATTAAAAGAGATATTTTAGCAATTATTTTAACATTCATTTTCACAGTTCATTTGAGCCTAAAAAGGGAGAAGATAGAAACACTGTGTCAAATCAATCAAAATTAAGAGAACCAAAATGGGGTCATTTGTTTCAAGATCAAGCCCTGTTAAGATGTAGAATAAACTCAAGTCCCTAACAACAAAATGTTTCTCAGTCTGGGTTAAGTCTTTCACATCCTCAAATTCCACTTAAGGTCTTCATGTCTCCATTGTAAGAAGCACATACTTAAAACAATGAGTTACTCTATTAGGCAAAGTAAGGCCAGCTTAAAACAGCAGCAAAAACAACAACAAAACAAATGATCCTTTGCTATTACAGTTACACATAGTATCCATACATTCACAAACAGAATTAACAGGAAGCAAGAGTATGCTTTGTAGGTGGTCCTGCCCAAACCGGGTCCAATCCAGTTCTCCATCCAAGTATCAGTTCAGGCATTCCTTTTTCTGGAAATAGAGTCCCAGCTCTCCCCCAGGCCCACTTCAGGTACCCTCACAATGCCTGGCACACCTATTACATAACTTAGAGCCAGCACCTACATCACATCACTAACCTGGCAAGTTAGGCACAGATAAGAAGTGAATGACTTGGCCCAGTCACAGCTGGTATTTGAAAATAAGTATGTCTGACTCTTAGCCACTACGCCATAAACAATGTCTAAACTCATCACCTTGTAGGGTGAACTAGGCAAGAAAGGAGGATACTTTGCATCTTTCACTCTCAGGACTGGAACAACATGCAGAAAATTCTATGTTCCTGTTCAATAAAGGCAACACTCTAGAGTAGACAGAAGTTGACGTTTATATCCTTGCTCAGACTGCTTGGTTAACATGCACAACAGCAGGAAACACCTCTGGGGCCTGTGAACTTACTTCAAGCTACTGTATTATTACAGGCATGGTGCTCAGACCTGTAATTCCAGCATGGGAGGATTACCTCCAGTTTAAGTTGAGCCTGGGCAACAGTGAGACAATCTGGGATAAAGAAAGATTTCTTTCTTTGGGGGCTGGAGAGATGGCTCAGTGGTTAAGAGCATGGGCTGTTCTTCCCAGAGGACCTGAGTTCAATTCTCAGCACCCACCTGACAACTCACAGAAAGAACCTTGTCTCAAAACAACAACAAACAAATAATTAGAAACAAACAAACAAAAAACCCACCTAGTCATGACAATCATGGAACATTCCCTCCAGGAGGGAAGGAGAAGACATAAGACTCAGAAAACTCCTGAGTTACAACACTCACAAGACCTCTAAGGTTATAAAAGGCAATAAGCAGCTGCTAGGGAGAGAGGACTCAAGGACCAGTCAAGCTGCATGCAAATTGTTCCAGGAGCTGTAGGGATGCAGCTTTATGAGTCATCACTTACGCAAAGGTGGGCTTCTTGGAGATAGAGCTGCCTTTTGAGTGACCATATTCCTGTGAGTAAACCCTCACCTATACTCCTATAAGTAACCCCAGTAAATGCACTGTTTTACCAAGCTGGGCGTGAAGGGAAGTGTTCCTTTGGTCCATCATCAGTGCCCTATCTAGGGTGAACAGAAGTTTGTTCCTGTCTCCCCAGGAAGAATCACACAACAAAACTGACACCCAAACAGGACCAACAGAACTGATGATGAATAAGAGAGAAGAGGCTACTCATTCCCTGCAACAGGTACTGAGATATGCAACTGGGGCTGATCTGTGTGAGGATGGGGCGCTCCTCTATCAGCAGTCCTGACAGAACCACTTCTCCCCATGGGTATGGGATGATGTGCCTCCTTGATATTTGATGCTACATGCTACATTAGAGAGATGACAGGACATGCAACCAGGGCCAAGCCGTCTAAGAGTAGAGTATCCCTGAGGATAATCTCCAGGTGGCCATCTTCCTCTACTTGAGATGGATAGCATGCTTCCTTGACTAATGGGGTCCATCCTGTGAAATGGTAATGTCTCAAACAGATAATAAAAGAACTTGCGCCGGCGGTGGTGGCGCACGCCTTTAATCCCAGCACTGAGTTCGAGGCCAGCCTGGGCTACCAAGTGAGTTCCAGGAAAAGGCGCAAAGCTACACAGAAAAACCCTGTCTCGAAAAACCAAAAAAAAAAAATAAATAAATAAAAAAATAAAAGAACTTGCCTGTATAAAAGAGGAATTATGAGAAAAAGGCATGCAGATGCTACCCACTGGCAGAAAAGTGGGAAAAGGAAAAAGGTGAGATGGAGGTGTTTGGCTTGCCATTTCTCACAGCTGGAAGGATGTAATGAAAAGATAGCATATGTTAGGTCTGTGCTAAAGAGCCCTTTTTTGATTCCAAAAACTTAGAACTCATGGAAGAATCAGTGAGGCAGGATAGAGCAAAGTAGAAACGCTAGAAGATACTTCTCAAGTCCCACCTTTAATACAAAGGAATGAAAAGCCCATGATT